GAACGCCTCACACCACGAGGAGCCCGAACGACTCACACCAGGACGAGGGGCCCGAACGACTCACACCACGAAGAGCCCGAACGACTCACACCAGAGGAGGGGCCCGAACGACTCACACCAGGACGAGGCGCCCGAACGACTCACACCACGAGGAGCCCGAACGACTCACACCACGACGAGGGCCCCGAACGACTCATACCACGAGGAGCCCGAACGAGTCACACCAGGAGGAGGGGCCCGAACGACTCACACCAGGACGAGGGGCCCGAACAACTCACACCACGAGAAGCCCGAACGACTCACACCAGGACGAAGAGCCCGAACGACTCAAACCACGAAGAGCCCGAACGACTCACACCAGGAAGAAGGGCCCGAACGACTCACACCAGGACGAGAGGCCCGAACGACTCAAACCACGAGGAGCCCGAACGGCTCACACCAGGACGAGGGGCCCGAACGACTCACACCACGAGGAGCCCGAACGACTCACACCAGGAAGAGGGGCCCGAAGGACTCACACAAGGACGATGGGGCCGAACGACTCACCCCACGAGGGGCCCCAACGACTCCCACCAGTCGTCGTCGTCGTCGTCGTCGTCGTCGTCGTCGTCGTCGTCGCCGCCGCCTCGTCGTCGTCGTCGTCGTCGTCGTCGTCGTCGTCGCGGTTGTGGTCGTCGTCGTCGTCGCGGTCGATATCGTCGTCGTCGTCGGGTGCGTCGTCGTTGTTAGGATCATCGCTGTGGTCGTCGTCTCCGCTAAATCCCTCTTGCCTCCCACCGCTTTCTCTCCCTCCTCCTCCGCCTCGTCCTTCTCCCGCTCCCACCACAAGGAGGATGTACAATGAGGCGGGGGGAAGGAGGAACAGGGGAGATATGCGGGGGCAGGCGGAAACACGCATGAAAAACACGACTGTCGGCATGCTTCGCAAGAATTGCTGTTTTGAGATGGGCTGGTGGGGATACGCGAAGCGTGAAGAATTGAGATTTTTGGGCGGCGGGCGACCAGAGAAAACGACAAAGGACAGGCTGCGGAAACAAATCTGCCCAAAGACGGCTCCAAGTGGCCACGGAGCCTCCCAGGACCCCCTGAGAGGCCCCAAACCCTTCCAAAACCTAAGACACGCCAATGACGATGCCTTCTCGCCCATTCGCTTCCGATCGGTGCGGGAGGCCTCAAGACGGATCCAAGAGGGGCCCAAGAGAGCTCTAAGATGGGCCCAAGAGGGAACCAATAGATATCCAAGAGGACTTTTAGGCTTCCGACGGAGGGACTGTAATCACGTACGCCCCCATTGGTTCAACGATGGCCTCCAAGATGGCCTCAACAGGGCCTCCAGGCCCCTCATCAGATGCGGCGCAGCAATACGTATGCCTATGTCCTTGCTGTGAAAAAAAATACCCTGCGACGTACCCAACCTTTTCTACACATGTGGCGATTAATGCAAGCCCCCCAAGGGGGGGTGGGCGAGGTCTCGAGGTGGTCCTTGTGGGACGTACCTCCGCTTGGCCTCCCAAGAGCCCGCGACAGTAACGACATCTGCGCAGATCGCAAGCCCCCCAGTAGGCGGCGAAGTCCCGAGGTGGTCCGCTGGGCCTCCCAAGATCCCGCGAAAGTAGCGACATTTGCGCAGATCGCAAGCCCCCAAGAGCCCACGAAAGTGCCGACATTTGCGCAGATCTCAATCCCCCATGGGGCGGCGGGGTCCCGAGGTGATCCGCGTATGACGTACCTCCGCTGGGCCTCCCAGAAGCCCACGAAAGTAGCGACAATTGCGCAGATCGCAAGCCCCCCAGGGGGCGGCGGGGTCCCGAGGAGGTCCGCGTATGACGTACCTCCGCTGGGCCTCCCAAGAGCCCACGGAAATAGCGACATTTGCACAGATCGCAAGCCCCCAAGGAGGGCGGCGGGGTCCCGAGGTGGTCCGCGTATGACCTACCTCCGTTGGGCCTCCCAGAAGCCCACGAAAGTAGCGACATTTGCGCAGATCGCAACCCCCCCAGGGGTCGGCGAGGTCTCGAGGTGGTCCGCGTATGACGTACCTCCGCTGGACCTCCCAGGAGCCCGCGAAAGTGCGGACAATTGCGCAGATCGCAAGCCCCCAAGGGGGCGGCGGGGTCTCGAAGTGGTCCGCGTATGACCTACCTCCGCTGGGCCTCCCAAGAGCCCACGAAAGTGCCGACATTTGCGCAGATCGCAAGCCCACCAAGGGGCTGCGAGGTCTCGAGGTGGTCCGCGTATGACCTACCTCCGCTGGGCCTCCCTGGAGCCCACGAAAGTGTGGCAACCCCTAGACCCGCCTACCCAACAGACAAGACGGCGAGGCAGGAAGCAGGAGCCAGACGGCACGAGAGAAGAGGAGAATGGAACACAGGAAACAGGAGAGAAGGAGAGGAGAGGAGGAGGAGAGGAGGTGGTGGAGACCAAACTGCTCTATTCAAAACGAGAACCCAACACGGGAGGGTTGGGACAAAAAGCAGTGGCACCCGCCGCTGGGGACGGCAGCGGGAGCGCAGCGGGCGAGCCGACGCACTCGGCTTGGTCGACTGCCAGCCCTAACCGCCGGGGGGGGGCAACGGGAAGAAGGCCCCTCCTTGCCGCCTGGAGCCGTGCAGGCGCGACCACCCGAACCGCCGACGCAACCCCTGCCAGGGAGGGGCCCCGCGAGGGGCGGAACGGCGTCGAGAAGGTCGCGCGCCGCGTCGTCGGGTGGAACCGCCACAGCGCCAACGCCGTGCCGCCGTCGCTTCGTCGGCGGGGGGGGGCGGGTCCAGGGTCGTTGGCGTCGCCGCCAAGGCCAGAGCAGGCCCGTCGCTGCGTCGCCCCAAGGCCCCTAAGGAGGCTCGGGAGAACCCCAACAGCAGTCAATACGGCCCCAAGAGGGCCCACGCATGATGCCCCAATGCGCCCATATCGAAGATCCGCGACGACATGAATGATGCCTCCCAAGCCTGCTCAGAGTGAGCCCGATCTTCGGTTTGACGTCTGCCCCACCTCTCTGTTCCGCTGCCTGTGCTTACACTTGCATGATCGAGACAATTCGCCTGGGCATCGCTTCCGGATGGGCTGATGCGAAAACTCGACGCGTCAAGAATTTGAGTTTGACAGTTGCGCCCATGTTCCGAACTGCGAGACACTGTAGAAAAGGTTTAAAAACAGTCTCCTCCCCTCCTCCCCCCTCCTCCTCCCTCCTCTCCTCCTCTCCTCCTCCTCCTCCCTCCTCCTCCTCCTCCTCCTCCTCCTCCTCCTGCCTCCTCCTCCTCCTCCTCCTCCTCCTCCTCCCTCCTCCTCATCCTGCCTTCTCCTCTTCTCCTCCTCCTCCTCCTCCTCCACCTCTTCCACCACCCCTCTTCCTTGTAAATAGTTCCTCCCTGTCGCAGCCCTGGATGTGACGGTAGGGCGGGCCAGGCATTCTGCTTGAGACTTCCTCGCCATTTCTGGTCCTGCAGCTTGCAAGTTGCAACATATTCACAGATGGAAGGCGGGTCCTGTTCAAAATGTGGCTGTCGCGCTAGCGTCGCGCACTTTCGTCCTAAAAGTTTGACACAGTTTCACGGATGGAGGGCGGAACGTTTTCAACCTGCGGCTCTCGCCTTAGCGCCGCGGACATTCGCCTTACAAGTTTGCAAACAGTTTCGCAGATGGAGGGCGGGTGGTTTTCAGAATGTGGCTCTCGCCTCAGCGCCACGCACGTTCGTCTTAAAAGCTTGCAGCAATTTCACGGATGGAGGACGGGTGGGTTTCAAACTGTGCTCTCGGTTGAGCGTCACGCACAAGTCGTAGAAGTTGCAGCAGCTTCACGGATGGGGGGCGGGTGATTTTCGGAATCCGCTGACGGAGAGCTTGCAGCAGTTTCACGGATGGTGGGAGGTTCCTTTTTTGAAGTGTGGGTCTCGCCTCAGCGCCGCTCAGGTGTGCCTTAGATAATTGCAGCACTGGTGTTCTGGCACGCTCTAGGATTGTCAGGGCGCAACCGTGGCGTTGACTCGCGGCGCTGACGTGTTTTGGCACGGTTGGAAATTATCAGACGGTTGTCTTCTAGAATGGGCCACCTCCCGAAAGAAGCATTACTTGTCATAGGGACCTATGAAGAAGGAACTTGTAAGGAAGGCGTCTTGCAACATCGTTGGTACGTTTTGGGTTTACAGGGGTCCTGTTCCTCCTCCTCCTTTTCCTCCTCCTCCTCCCCCCTTCCTCCCTTCCTCCATCCCTCCCTCTCTCCCTCCCTCCCTCCCTCCCTCCCTCCCTCCCTCTACCTTCTTCTCCTCCCGCCCTCCCTTGGTATCCTCCTCACTCGTCCCTCCTGCTGTTCCTTTCCTCCTCCTCCTCCTCCTCCTCCTCCTCCTCCTCCTCCTCCTCCCTATTCTTGTCCTCCGCGAAGGAATATACAATGCAAATATTGAGGGTCTGCGCCGTGACTCCTTCTTTCAACACGTGGCGCTGTGTGGGACAACTTGAAGGTGCCTCCACGCCCGTGTTCCCTGTCAGGAGCGAAGAAGGGTCACTCACAACCCTCCGAGGGACGACCCCGACCACTAGCAGTGTTAACCTGCGCTTGGCGCCCGTTGTCGAATGCCGCGCGCAGGTCATCACCGCTGGGGGTTCGAGGTCGGCCATGGGTAGCCGCCAGGAGCGGTTCCCTCAGCCCAGCAATTCTCCTCTTCGCCCATGACGCTGTAAACTCCCCTTCCTCTTAGGGGGCGAACAATGGTATAAAGATAGACTTGTCCGCCGTCGGGGACCTCAGCCCTTCGGGCGGCTGAAGTGCTTCTACCCCTACGTGGCACCGTACAGGTATCAACTTTCCAGCCGCATGGGAGGCAGCCGTCCCCACGGCGGAAAATTGCTTTGAATGCCGCTCTTTGCCCACCAATCCTCCGCGCGCGCGGACTGCCTCTGCCGCGCTTGCGCCGCAACATGACTCTGCAACCTCCTCTTCCTCCTCCTTCGCCGCCCTCCCTCAGCGGCAGCGAAGGCGACGTGGGCCGCAGCGGGGGGCGTGCTGCACGAGGGCCGAGACGATCTGCACGGCGGTCGTGGTCTTGCCAGTGCCCGGGGGACCCTGCGGCGGCGCGGCCCATGGGAGACATCGGCTGGAGTCAGTGTAACAAGGGAAAAAGAGGAGGAAGGAGGAGGATGAGGAGGACAAGGAGGCGGACGAAAAGGAGGAGGGATGAGGACAAGGAAGGAGGAGGACAAGGAAGGAGGAGGATGAGGACGAGGAAGAGGAGAAAGGGCGAGGAAAGAGGAGGAGGAGGAGGCTGACAAAGACAAGGGAGGAGGAGGAGGAGGAGGAGGAGGAGGAGGAGGAGGAGGACGAGGAAGGACGAGGAAGGAGAAGGACGAGTAAGGAGGACGAAGCAGGAGGATGGAAGGACAAGGAAGGAGGATCAGGAGGATGAGGAGGATGAAGAGGAGGAGGGAGGAGGACCAGAATGAACCGACTATGCAAAACAAATCATTTTGGCGAAGGACCCAACCATATGCAGTTGTGAGTACCGCTATTGTGACTGTCTTCTTCGGTGGCGCTCCCTATGGGGCCGCAAAACGTTTGGGGGGTGTGCCGAAAGGGGGGCGGGGCCGCACGCGAACGCATCCACTGTGGCCTTCGGTGGAGCTCCCTACGGGGCCACGAAAAGTGTGGGATGTGTGCCGACACGGGGGTGGAACCGCATGCGAACGCAGCCGCTGCGGCTTTCGGCGGAGCTCTCTATAGGGCCACGAAACGCGTGGGATGTGTGCCGAAATTGGTCTGGAACTGCATGCGAACGCAGCCACTGGGGCCTTCGGTTGAGCTCCCTGCGAGGCCGGGTTTCGACTGAGAAAGTTCCGGGTTTGGAGCGAATTCCCGGGTTGAATTCTCGACCCCGCCTCCCCCTCCTTTTCCTTCTCCGCCTCCCACTCCTCCAGTTGCTCGTCGCCACCTTGCAATCCTTCTCTTCTTCCACCCCCCTCTATCCCAACGCCGCTCACACTTTCGCGCCTTCCTCGCGTCCATTCACGTGGCCACGCACCACAGCACTTTCAAAACCACTCCTGGACTTCGCAAGCCGACGTACTGTTGCCGCGACGATGACAATGCGAGGCGCCCGAATTTGAACATCTCCCATAGCTCACCTCGTCTGCCAAAAACACGCCCGAACTTCATTTTCAAACAGACGCGCCCGTCAGCAAGCACGGGCGCCGAAAGCGGCGAAGACGACGACAGCGACGAGGACGAGGACGAGGACGACAAGGACATCGAGAAACAGCAAAAACAACGACTACGACGCCCGACAACCAGAGCCAACAGAAGGACGAACGACATTTGCCGAGGTACTACGACGACGCAAGCCCCCCTAATTTGAACATCGCCATGCCACCGGACACAAAACCACACCACTCCGAGACTTCATTTTTAAAGCAGACGAGCCCGTCCCCCCGCGCGGACGCTGATGCCCGCAGCGACAACCACATCGGCGACGACGACGACGACGGCGACGAGTACGACGACGACAACAACGACACCGACAACGGCGGCAACAACGACAACCGACGACTGGCGACCGACGAAAATCGAACGACCCAGCACACCAACGACAATAAAAGACGCCCTAATTTTGCCACCCCCATGCCTCGGGTTGAAAACCAAAGCCACGCTGAGATCTCAATTTTAAAGCAGACGCGACCGTCCGCAAAAACAGCTAGCTGATGATGCGACGACGGCGACGTCGACGACGACGAAAAACAACGCGAACAACCGACAACGACAACAACGAAGGAACCGACGGCAACCGACGGCTCGCGACCCCCGAATAACAAACAGCATCCCCGACGACGACAACGACGCAAGCCGCCCCAATTAGTTCCAACCCTCGAACCTCGAATTCATTACCAAAACCAATCCGTGATTTCACATCCACGGTGAGAGCACACGTCCGCGAGTAGAGCGCTGACAACGACAACGACGACGACGACAAGGACGGAAACTACAACAACAACAACGACGACAACGCAGACATCAAGAACAACCGACGACTGGCGGCCAAGAGAAGGCAAACGAACATCGACGACAACCCCGACGCAATCCGACCTAATTTCGCCATCACCGTGCGTCGGGCTGACAACCAAAACCGCTCCGATAGTTTGATTTTGGAACAAACGCGCCCGTCCGCGAATACAGCTGATGACGCGACGACGGCGGTAGCGACGTCGACGACGAATCAGACAACGCGAACAACCGACAACCACAACAACAAACGCAACGTCGACAACCGACGGGTTGCGGCCCACGGAAAACAAATGACCATCGACGACGATGACGACCACGACGCAAGTCGGCCCAATTTGTTCACACCATCGTGCTTCGGGTCCGTTACTAGAATCTCTCTCTCTCTCTCTATATCTCATCCCACCTTTCATTCCAAAGAATTCCCTTATTCCGCGCCTGCAGAAATTCCAAGCTTCGCTCCGAACCAAATTTCTGGGTTTGGCCAAGGAATCTGGGTTTCACTGGGAATTCCGGGTTTCGTAAATCCGCTACGAGCCGGGTTTCGACTGAGAAAGTTCCAGGTTTGGAGCGAATTCCCTGGTTGAATTCTCGACCGTGTGCCGAAATGGGGGTGGAACCGCATGCGGGCGCTGCCCGTGGGGCCTTCGGTGGAGCTCCCTGTGGGGCCACGAAACGTGTGAGGGGTGTGCGGACATGGGGGTGGAACCGCATGCGAACGCAGCCACCGGGGCTTTCGGTGGCGCTCCCTATCGGGCCACGAAACGTGTGAGGGTTGTACCGAAATGGGGGGGTGACATCGCATGCGGGCGCTGCCGCTGGGGCCTTGGGTGGAGCTCCCTATGGGGCCACGAAGCGTGCGAAGGGTGTGCCGAAATGGGAGTGGAACCGCATGCGGGCGCTGCCACTGGGGCCTTCGGTGGAGCTCCCTATGGGGCCACGAAGCGTGTGAAGAGTGTGCCGAAATTGGGTTGGAACCGCATGCGGGCGCTGCCGTTGGGGCCTTCGGCCGAGCTTCCTATGGGGACACGGAACGTGTGAGGGGTGTGCCGAAATTGGGGTGGAACCGCATGCGGGCGCTGCCGGTGGGGCCTTCGGTGGAGCTCCCTATGGGGCCACGGAACGTGTGAGGGGTGTGCCGAAATTGGGTTGGAACCGCATGCGGGCGCTGCCACTGGGGCCTTCGGCGGAGCTCCCTACGGGGCCACGAAAAGTGTGAGGTGTGTGTGTGTGTGTGCCGAAATTGGTGTCGATGATGGTGACGATAACGGCGATAATGATTGCGACGATAGTGATTATGACGATGATGCCGATGAAGACGACGATTGCGTTGCGTAGGCGTCATACAGGGGTGCCTCCTGGGCCCGACGCCGCTCACAGAAGCTTAAAGGGTAGCAGCGTCGAGAATTATCTTAAATACTTCCGCCATTCAAGCCACGTCTTCTGCCCCTCTCTCCAAGACAGCCCAGAGACAGGCTTCAGGAGCCAATGACCCCCATTCAACTTATAGAAGTCTCGCTCCCATCGCCAGATCCCGACTGCTCGGTGATGCAACTGGGAGCCTTGCCACCTAGTCATCTCGGTCATCCAAGCACGATCGTGATAACGAAGGACGCGGTATGCGATCCTGTCTGGACAGGTTCTACCCAAGGACTGCAAGAAACCTCCCCAATTATGCTGCATCCTTCTGCAGGTCTGGGGCCACGATTCGACATTGTATCTAGCTCTAACATCAGCAACGCAATGCATGGCAGACTTCATATATTCAGCTGCGGATTCTCCGCGCGGCGGGCGGATCATACGTCTAAGCATGGTATTATGACATTTAGAAATCCTACTCATGGCAGAAACGGTGATATGTAAGCTCCCTATGCAATATGTCAGGGCTGGGCGAGCACAACGATCCAGGGCTTTCAGTCTTCTCTGAAGGCTAATCTTCCGATTGGTCAGCATCGTTCGATGAACGGCCCAGGTGCGCCACGCGCGTTGAATTATGTTACAGACCTCGCTAGTGCAACTACGATCGAAGACGACAAAAGTCCCGAGCACTTTCAAGCCTTCGGCTCGGGCTCGACAGGGGACGCACGTGCCACGGACGCGAAGCGTGCCGATATGTGACGGGTATGTGTGGCACCACTCCATTTCCTGCACGGGAACCTCTAAGCCACTGCGCTCGAGAATCCGAAGCCAAGCTTCCGTCATCATCGCGGCCATCGAGACCGATCTCGCTAAAATCCAGAAGTTGTCGGCAAAGCTCAAGACTCCTAAAACCTCATCCTCCTCACCAGGGGTGGTCAGACAAATACTCCAGCCATTTTTACGGCAGAGGTCGTGAAAAGCGAAGAGACACTGATCCAGGAAAACATTGCTGAGCTCGGGCGCCGCAGGATCCCATTGGATGAGAGACCTCCCACGCCGAATCGGGTCCGTGAGGGCGTTCCCAGGAAGACGAACCCTGGCCTTGGAGCGGCGAGTCCCACAAATCCAGAACGAGATAGCAACGCGGGCAACCCCGTGGCTGTCGAGGCGGCGCGCCAAGGCGGCGTGCTGAATAAAATCATAAAACTTTCTAATATCGCCGCCCACAACGACGAGCGGGGGGTCCTTATACTCACAAAATGTCTCAACTAAGTGGCGCAAGCTATATATGACTTCGTGGGCCTGGTATCCTCTGCGAAAAGCGAACTGACTCTCACTAGAGCCCGTTCGCTTTTTCGGGCCGGTCACGGGCGTGATGGGGGAGGGGGGGGGGGGGGGGGGACGCCCCGCCGATCACGTCACGGCGGGGGTGCGCCTGGGGTGCCGCAACATACTATTACTATATACTACTACTACTACTACTACCACTACTACTACTACTACTACTACTACTACTACTACTACTACCTACTACTACTACTACTACTACTACTACCACCACTACCACCACCACCACCACTACTACTCTTACGACTACGACTACGACTACGAGTACTACGACTACTACGACTATTGCAAGTACTACTATTACTACGACGACGACAACGACAACGACAACGACTACCACTACTACTACTACTACTACTACTACTACTACTACTACTACTACTACTACTACTACTACTACTACTACTACTGCTACTGCTACTACTACTACTACTACTACTACTACTACTACTACTACTACGACTACTACTACTACTACTACTACACTACTACTATACTACTACTACTACTACTACTACTACTACTACTACTACTACTACTACTACTACTACTACTACTACTACTACTACTACTACTACTACTACTACTACTACTACTACTACTACTACTACTACTACTACTACTACTACTACTACTACTACTACTACTACTACTACTACTACTACTACTACTACTACTACTACTACTACTACTACTACTACTACTACTACTACTACTACTACTACTACTACTACTACTACTACTACTACTACTACTACTACTACTACTACTACTACGACTACTTATAATAGTAATAACATGTAATAACAATCTTTCCTTTACAGTCCCCAGGGAGGCCCCAGGTGGGGCCCAGGGCGCCTGGAGGCCACAAAATCCACGAATCGATACCGGATACAAATAAACTTCTATCGTTCCTTTCCGAGCCCCCGGAGGGCCCAAGGGCGCCCTGAGGTCAGAAACTCAATGAATCGATACCGGGTACAAATAAACTGTCATCGTTGCGTTCCAGGCTCCCCTTCCTCGTCCTCCTCGTCCTCCTCGTCGTCGTCGTCGTCCTGCTCCTCCTCCTCCTCCTCCTCCTCCTCCTCCTCCTCCTCCTCCTCCTAGACCCAGGTGGGAGCGGAGTGGGTGTGCCGAAAGGCATATGTCAGGAATGTGCGTGCTACAAAAAAGTCTCTTGGCAACGGCTTGGCGCCGAGGAGGGGAGGAGGAGGAGGAGGAGGAGGAGGAGGACGGACGAAAGGGAGGAAAGGGGGGAGAACGAGGAGGAGGAGGAGGCCATCAGAAATGCCGGACGAAGAGGAGGAGGGAGAGGAGGAGGAGGAGCCCCAGTGCTTGTATACACCACAGCGCTGGCAGCTACGAGCGCCGCGCTACGACCGACGCACCATTGCCTCTCAGAAACAGAACAAAACTGCGTCCCTGAGAGCACCACGCGGCACGCACGCAACCGCTTCCCTTCGCAAATACCACAACGTCCCTGAGAGCACAACAATGTGCCTCTAAACACCACAGTAGCCTGAGAGCGCCACAGGACGCCCGCGGTCGCCACCGGACGACCGCCGTGACGTGAGAAGGGGGGGGGGGCCGGGCCCGATCACGCTCGTGATCGCCGGGAGGTTTTCCGAACGGGCTCCTACGACACGATTCGATCACTCTCGTTGCGTTTCCATCACCATCATGCTCAAAATCTTCTGCAACACAGAAATCAGGGCTATCGGGCGAAACTGACTAATCTTGCGGGCATCTGGCACTTTTCGGATGAGCTGCACCACGTGATCGCTCCAGGCCGTGTCGAAATATTCCGAGACGTGATTCCGGAGCCGCAGTCTGAAGGCCTGCAGCAAGTGCTCTAGGACATCCGCCTCCAGCCCCTGAAGCATTTCGCCCACAATCATGTCGGTCTCGTCACAGGACTTGCAGCTCTTCAGGCGACCGATGCACATTCGGAGGAGCGGGAGGCTCAAGGGCACGGACTGTTGCTGCTCCTCGGCTGACCACTGCTGGTGGATCCAGTCTGGCAACTGTCCGTCACTGGTCGCGTCCTGGAACAGCTGAGTGTAGAAAGCATGGGCCTCCTGCAGTCGCTCGGCGCTGGTGGTCGCCTGGCCGCCATCTATCTTGTCTAAGCAATAGACTGGGCGCCCCGTCTTGTAGGCCTTCTCAGCTCGACCGCGATCGCACAGACGGGACTGATGCTCAGTAGTGCAACGATCTCTCATAGCCCGCTTCATCTTGCAGACCGCGGGCCCCATGAGATGTCTGACTCGCGGGTCCTCCTCCGCGGCCCGCGCGCGCTCCAAAGCCTGCAGCTGGAGCAGCTGAGCGTCGCCTGGCGGGGGCCGCCACCGGCCTCGGCGCGGAACGTGGCCAGCCTTCGCGGCGGCCGCGCAGATGGAGGCGGACAGCAGGCGCAGCGAGGCGATACCCTGGCGCGTGCTGGAGGCTGTCGCCGTAGGCGCTGCCAGATGAAGACCCAGCGCGGCGCCCGCGTCCTCGCTGAGGATGTCGGCCTGGCGCCGCTTCCGCGCCGCTCGGCAGGCTGTCTGGTGGGCAGCGCAGGTGGCCTCGAAGGCGGCAGCGTCCCAGTCAGGCGCAGGGTATGGCCGTCTCCAGTGGCTGTCGATGTGGTGGCGCTGGTCACTGCCCAACTTGGCGAGATAGTCAGCCTGCTCGTTGCCCGTGTTCCCGTTGTGGCTCTTCACCCATCTGATGATCATGTCAAAAAAGGTATGGCAGCGCTGCCACAGGTGGGTGGCCAAGGTCGCTAGCTCGAAGTTCTCCTTCGGCTGGAAGACACCCTGCAACAAATTGCGAACGTACGTGGGGTCAGTGCTGACGAGGATGCGGGTGGCGTCCCGCACGAGTGGCTGAGCGAGTAGACGCTGTGCGAGTAGCCAGAGCAGCGCCTCTACGATGGCTGTCAACTCGCCCGTGTTCGCCGATAGGCACGTCGCGCCCACATACCGAGGGTCCTGCACATCAGTGATGACCTGACCACAGGCCTCCAGAAGACTGGTGTCCTGGTCGTTCGGCTCGGCTACGTGATAGAGTGCGAACCCCCAGCCAGCCGCGTGGCACCGATGACGCCGCTGTCGGTCTCGTCCTCGCCGAGCAGAGCCATCCGTGAAGATCCCCATAGCATTAGTCATGTCCCCCTCAGTGTACATCGCAGTCTCTGGAGGAGTGTAGCTGATCTGCAGGGGCGTGCAGATGGTGGAGTTGAACAGCTCGGCATCTTCGACCTGCCAACCCACGGGTTTCCGTGGTGGGCGTTCGATGGTCTCCAGCGGCGTCGGCTCGGTGTGGCCAGCGATCGCGGGGGCGCCGTGGCCAGCGTGGCAGCGCAGGAGGAGCGGCAGGTGGTCGCTCGATGAGGCGTCGGTGAAGCGGGCCTGGCAGTGCGTCCGCGATAGCCAATCGCGGTGGATCAACATGAAGTCGATCTGCCTGGGCCCCTTGCGATCGTCAAAGAAGCAAACGGCCTGACCCCACTGTCCACGGGAATAGGTGTTGGCAGCAATCAGATCGAACTCGGCCATTAAGTCGTGAAGCATCTCCCCTCGCCAGGCCATCTCGGAAGTAGAGAAAGGGCCCACAGTGTCTCCGTCAGGTACCCCTAGGCCGTCCTGGGCATCGATGCTGACAATGGCGTGGCAATCAATCGGCATGGTGGTCAAACATTCTCGTAACTGCTGGACGGTCTCAGCATACTCACATCGAACAATATGCGAAAACAAGTGGCTGGTGATAGCCCGCACGCGGCCCCAGATAGACAACTGCAAGTCCAGGGCCATGGTGCGCCCGTGGAACTGCGGCTCGCCAATGACGGAGGGCGCCAAGGAGTTGGCCACCGCTATCGCACACCTCTGCCAAGCCCCCGATGGAGGCGACACGTGCACAACATAGCCGTCATAGGTCTGCTGAGCTCCACCTGCTACACACCATTCTTGAAAAAGGATCAAACTCGCATCGAATTCATCGGTCAGCGACTCGAGCACGGCACGACGCCGCTTCGCAAGGACACCTGTCGCATTCCACCCAAGAACTGTGAGGTCCCTGATGTCCTTAACGTAGCGCCTGCCCCGTACACGAAATCACTGGAGCCGAGGGGGGTCGTTGATCTCGCTCAGGCGCTCATGCAGTTTCAGATCCTTGAGCTCCTGGTCCAAGGCGGCCGCTGCCAAGGCGTCGGTGCTGACCTCAAGCAGGTCTGACGTCCTCGAGCGATGTAGCAGACGAACTGGCCGCTCCGTGCTGTTCTTGCGAAACACCACCTGTCCGCGGTCCCAGTCTCCATCGAAGGTCCGCTGCTTCGACTCCTCCGTGCACAGCCCCGTCTGGATGCCGAACTCGCGCAGGATCCGCACCGCACAGCTGACCCGACGGGAGAGCTCCACCTCATGAGGGTCCTGGTCGACCTTGTGCCACAGCTTGTCGTTGCGAACCCCTGGGCAGGGGATCTTCTGGCCCTTCCAGCGCTTCATGAAACCCCACATCTTCTGATTGTTTGCAAAGACCACTTTGGCCTGATCGCAGAACCGCCCAACTCCGTAGATCTCGGTGATCCCCTGCGCCTCCAGGGAAACCGTCTTGGCGAGCTCCGTGCGCAAGTGCTTCTCCACCTCATCCTTGTCCCAAGTGCCAGGGAAGCCAGCGACGAACACCACGTGCTTGCTGTTCTTCCCGCCTCGCGGCCGCGCTGTCGGCGGAGGCATCCCGCCCGCGCGCTGCTGATCCAGGTAAGCCCCCCACGGATCAGGCTGGCCGCTCACATGGGAGGCTGACCCTAAGCCCGCTCTCGGTCCGACCGAGCTCACGGCCGAAGATCGGCCCGCCCCGAGAGCGTCCAACCTGGCCTCCTGCGCCCTCAGATTGGCCTGCACCGCGGAGATGTCCCGGCTGCTGGCCTCCGAGGTACGCTGCAGTGCGTCGACGCGGGTCTGCAATCCGTCCAGCTTCGCCCCCATCGACTGGTTGAGAGCCCCGATGATATACTGCGCCAGTCCAAGCTGCGCTGGGTCGGTCGGGGGTCTCGGGGCGGCCTGCGGCGCGACTACCTGTGCTGACGGGGCACGCTGGACCTCGACGGGAACAATGTCCTCGTCAGTGTCACGATCCTCCATCGCGACGCCACCCGCGCTCAGCTCAGTCCTACGCCGCTGTTCCCGCTCCCAGACCTGGCCAGGTGCGTCGGCGGCCGCGCCAGCAAGCAGCACAGGCGGAGGGGCGTTCGCGAAAGCCATCCAAGACCGCAGCAAAATGCGCGCGAGGAAAGCTCGAACTCGAGAGATACAAGAAACTCCAGCCTCAAATCCAGGCTGGGCCGCCTGGACGGGCGTGCGATCTCCAGTGCTGCCTGGGTGCCGTCTTGAGCCAAAAAGACGACGATGATGATGACGACGATGATGATGACGATGATGATGAGAATGACGATAACGATGACGACGATGATGATGATGACGATGATCACGATGATGATGATGATGACGATGATGAGGAGGAGGAGGAGGAGGAGAGGGAAGGGGCAGAGGGAGGAGTGAACGCGGGGCGCTGTCTCTTCAAAACGAGGAGCCAACACCACTGGATGGTTGGGAAATATGTGGCGAAACCTCGCCGGACGCACCCAGCGCATGAGGCGGCCACGAGGTGGCATAAGGCGGCGACCTTGTCGGATGCACACAGCACACGAGGCGGTAACGAGGCGGCTGCGGGCAGCAACGTGGCGAAACCTCGCCAGACCCACCCAGCGCACGAGTCGCACGAGACGGCCACGAGGCGGCCACGGGAGTCAACGTGGCGCAACCTTGCCGGACCCACCCAGCGCACGAGGCGGCCATCAGGAGGTCACGGGTGGCAACCTGGTGAAACCATGCTGGACCCAGCGCACAAGGCGGCAACGAAGCGGCCACGGATGGCAACGTGGAGAAACCTCGCCGGACCCACCCAGCGCACGAGGCGGTCACGGGCGGCAACGTGGCGAAACATCGCCAAACCCACCCAATGCACGAGGCGGCAACCGAGGCGGCCACGGGTGGCAACGTGGCGAAACCTCGCCGGACCCGCCCAGCGCACGAGGCGGTCATTGGCGGCAACGTGGCAAATCCTCGCTGAACCCAGACATTTCATCAGTAGGACAAGTAAGAACCCCTAAGTACTAGCACTGTCTGGGGGAAAAACTACGTAGTGCAAGCACTGTATGGTGTTGTGTATGTCTGGGGTGATCCAGACACGATGGTGGTCAAAAACGTCAGGAAACCGAATCCGTGCACGATGTGGGCGTGTAGAAATGCCAGTTGCTGCTCTCTGTAGGGGTTTCCAGCCGCAGACTGTCGCGTGCATCCCCACCCCTCCCGAGGCCACGATCCCTCGTACAAAAACGATCGATTCGCGCTCCCGAGGCCACGATCCCTCGTAGAAAACGATGTGTCTGCGTCCTGAGCTTCCAAGACGGCCCAGGCAGGCAACCAAGATGGCCCAACATGTCTCGAAGACGGGCCACGATGGCCCCAAGGCGACCCAATATGACCTCAAGACGGTCCAAGACGCCTCCAAGAGAGCCCAAAAGGGCCACAAGAGGACTCCCAACATATACGACGGAACTAAAATCATCGATCCCAGCAGGGATTTTGAAAGATTTTCGCACTCACCTTTTCGGGCTTATGTTAACTCAAGACGGCCCACGAAGCCTCCAACATGGCCCCAAGACGGCGCAATGGGCCCCCAAGATTGACCCAAGAGATCCCACGAGACCTCAAGAGGCATCCAAAACGGCTCCAAGACGGCCCAAAGTGCCTCCCGCCGGACCTAAAACGGCCTTAGAAGACCTCTCGACTGCCCAAGACGGCGCCAAGACGGGTCCACGACGACATCCAGACACTCACCATACGGCTCAGAGGGCCAGGATGGCTCTGCCTCAGAGAGCCCCAAGACGGCCCCAAGAGGCGCCGCGGGTACCCCCAAGACTGCCTCACAGGAGGCCAAGACAGCCCAAAGACGGCTCAACCGAGTTATAATAGAGCTCCTCGAATAATAAAGACGAAAAGGTGTCACATGTGACGGTCTTTCTCCTCCTGCTCCTGCTCCTCCTTCCGCTCCTCCTCCACCTTCTCGTCGTCCTCCTTCTCCTTCTCCTCCTCCTCTTCCTCTTCCTCGCCTTCGTGATCATCTTCAACGTCGTCGTCGTCGCCGCCGTCACCACCACCACCACCACCACCACCATCACCATCACCATCACCATCACCATCATCATCATCATCATCATCATCATCATCATCATCATCATCATCATCATCATCATCATCATCATCATCATCATTATAATCATCATCATTATCACCATTATCATCATCATCAACATCATCATCATCATCATCAACATCAGCATCAGCATGATCATCGTAATCGACATCGTCATCGTCATCATCATCGTGATCGTCATCGTCATCGCCATCGACACCGCCATCATCATCGTCATCGTCATCGTCATCGTTTTCGTGATCGCCATCGCCATCATCATCATCATCGTCATCATCATCGTCATCATCATCGTGATCATAATCAGCATCGTCATCATCATCACAATCACCATCACCATCACCATCATCATGATCATCATCGCCAGCATCATCTCATCATCATCCTCATAATCGTCGCCGTCCTCATCAGCATCATCATGATCATGTTCATCATCATCAGCATCAGCATGATCAGCATGATCATCATCAACACAATCATCGTCGTTGTCATTTATCGTCATCATCATCGTCATCATCATCATCACCATCAGCATCATCATCATAACCAGCATACTCGCCATCATCAGTATCGTGAGCATCATCATCATTATCCTCGTCATGCTCATCAATATCATCATCATCATCAGCATCACATCATCATCGTCGCCATCACCATCACCACCACCATCATCATCCTTGTCTGCATCCGCATCATTAGCATCATCATCATCATCATCATCGTCCTCGTCATCGTCATCGTCATCATCATCGTCAACGTCAACATCAACATCAACAGTAACATCAACATCAACGTCCACACCTGCATCAACATCACATCAACGTCCTCATCGTCATCGTCATCATCACCATCACCATCACCACCATCATCATTCTCATCCTCGTCCTCCCCCTCCTCCTCCTCCTCATCATCACCATCAACATGTATCATCGACGTAGTGGTCATTGTCACCAACATCATCCGCATAATCATCGTCACCACCATCATCAGCACCGTCAACATCACCAGTGTGTGCATCATCATCATCATCATCATCATCATCAGCATCAGCTTCATCATCATTAGCATCAGCATCATCATCATCAGCATCACCATTAGCATCGTCGTCGACATGACCATCATGATGATCATGACCATCGTGACCATCATGGGTAGCATGATCAGCACCATGATCATGACCATGATCATGATCATGATGAGTATCACCATCATCAGCATCAACATCATCATGATAGTCGTCATCATCCTCAGCAGTATCAGCATCAACATCACCACGACCACCACCATCATCATCATAAGCATCATGATCATCATGATCGTCATCAGCATCATCATCATCAGCATCATCATCACTATTACCAACATCATCACCATCATGACCATCACCATCAGCATCGTCATCATCAGCATCGTCGTCACTACCAACATCGTCATCATCGCCATCGTCACCATGACGATCATCACCATCACAAGAAGCATCACCATCACAATCATCAGAATCCTCATCACGGCTCTCCCAAGTCTGGAGACACGAAGTCTCACACGCGACGGCCTCCCGTGCCCCTTCGAGCAACCGCCACCCAGAAGGCTGGGTTCGCACAGTGGCGGGACTGGCTGCAGGCAGCTGGATATGGTATTTGTCTTCGGGTCAGCCCGTGGCCATGGGCACCCTGTGAAGGGGCAAGGAGAATAGAGAATGGATCGGAGGAGGGCAGGGGACGAGGAAGAGGTGGAGGCAGAGGAGAGGCAGGAGGCCAAGGCGGATCCTTGGGGGGATGCCCCCCAGAGGCAACGTGCAGTGGCCCAGTGGGTGGGTGCGGTACACTGGCTCCTGATCCCAAAGACGTCGTTTTCGTAGTCGTCGCCGCCCTCCTCCTCCTTTTTACTCATCCTTCGTCCACGCGCTCCTGCTCCTCCGCCTCCTCTACGCGAGAGCGGCGGAGAAGCTGCCTGAATGAGCGTGATCCTCTGGGTGCACGCCCTGGTCAAAGCCTCCACCTGGACAAGCAACCGACCAAGTGCGGCAGACGCGATCTGGGCAACGAAAAAGCAAGATGGGGTCAGAAGGAAACGGGGGAGGGGTAGTGCCAAGCTATGTGCGCTCGCGTCATATCTGACGTCCTACCCCTCCCTACCATCCCTTACCATGGCGCTGATTTTCTCTATCCGCGGACGCGTGTCGTAGCGGACCTGCGGCTCCGCGCGCGCGTGCGTAGTGGGTGGTGGTGCGCGTGCGTGCGTGCGTGTGTGCGTGGTTGTGGTTGTGGTTGTAGTTGTGGTTGTGGTTGTGGTTGTGGTTGTGGTTGTGGTTATGGTTGTGGTTGTGGTTGTGGTGGTGGTGGTGGTGGTGGTGGTGGTGGTGGTGGTGGTGGTGTGTGTGTGTGTGCGTGTGTGCGCGTGTGCTGTGGTGTGACGTGGTGTGGCGTCTTGGTGGTTTGGTGGTGGGCCAGGTGCGTGCGTGCGTGATGGCGGTGGTGGTGGTGGCGGTGGTGGTGGGTGTGTGTGCGTGTGTGTGTGTGTGTATGTGTGTGCGTGTGTGCGTGTGTGTGTGCGTGCGTGTGTGTCTGTGTGCGCGCGCGTGTGATGTGGTGTGACGCGGTGTAGCGTGGTGGTGGTGGGTGGGGTAGTGGGGTGGTGGTGGCGGTGCGCGTGCGTGCGTGCGTGCGTGCGTGCGTTGGTGGGTGGAAGTGGCGGTGAGCGGGGCGGGGCGCGGTGCGGCGGTGGCGGGCGGATGGGCGCGCGAGAAAGAGGCCCGCGCTGGGGCGAGAACGCCATCCTGAACGACGGAGGCAAAACACCGATCCGAAAATGGGACCCACGCTGCAGCGGGAGCACGATTCGGACCGAGCGGGGCCCGAAAATGAGGCCGGCGCCTCAGCGAGAGCAGCATTTTGGAAAAAATGCAGGCGAAAACCCCACTCCAGGGAAACCTGTGTAAAAAAACAGTACGCGGGGGGGGGGGGCGGCTACTCCCAAGACGTCATCAGGG